TTGACAAGAAATTAAGGTTTCCCTAATCTATCTTAGGATGGGATGCAACTATGTCCAAACCCTAGTTCCTGATTGTTGTATTATTGATACTCATATGTTGCATTTAGGGTTGAGAATACATGTATAGTACGTGGTCTATTATGAAGGGCCCATCTACTGGATTAAGTTCCTTTATGCAAGTTCATTATTCTTGGTTATTGCATTTGCTTGGAGATTGGGGTTCATTCACTCATGCCTATAGGTTTACTTAGAACATTCATTCATCCATTGTTTCATTCATCTACTCATTCATCCAATGTTTCACTTATTCATGACCATGGTGCTACTTAAGAACATAGGTCTTATTTTCACCATTTTGGTCCATTTAAAGGTCATTTGCATTCAAGGTACAACATTTCATTACGAAGAAAAAAAAACAAAAAGAGTACACTATGTCACATGAAGTCAAAGTTGCTAGTCAAATAAAAAGGATTGACACATTGATTAGAATTGTTACAAAAGCTTGTAAAATCTTATAATAAAATACTATCCATTACAATGAAGACTCACTACAAGAATGGGGATCATATTAAAAAGTGAGCTTCTTCAAATGACTTCATCGTCTTCAAAGAGTTGCATCATTGTATTCACCAATCATCTTTCAAAGTATCTTTCATGTCAAGGATAACATCCAATTTCCTTGCCCCATATGTGATGGCATTACCAACCTGCAAGGAAGAGCATCGATATTAAGCAAACATTGAAAATGTCGTGCATACATTTTCACACCATAATAACATTAACAATGCACATCACACAAGTCAATGCGCATTTGGTATAACTCATGGCTAACTTCACTTAATAAGATTCACACGTCACAATTTAACACTCTACAATTTCTATTTTCAATTTAAAAGAAAGGCTAATAGAAGTGTAAACATAATCAAACAATGACGGAACTTTCACAACATGAGCATAACAGTTTTTTAACATTCATAACATCTTAACATGAGCAGGATAATACACATAACTGACATAACTTTATAAATAGGATAAACTTCATTACAACAGCAAGTTAACGCTAACTACACTTCGACATTGCTCATTGCATCAAAGCTAAGCATAAACTAAGTGCCACAATTACACATTTACTTCATAATTCATAACTGAATCTAAAAACCACTAACTGAATATGCAAACATTCATCTAAACACATTTCAAAACCCCATAATCCGCAACAGACCCTCACACTTACAATAGAAGTTTCCAAATCTCACAAGTTAACTTCATATTCCAAATCATCAACTAAATTTAAATCTTATTAACAACTACTTCCAGTTGGCATAACTTTCATAACAGAGTTCTCATTGCAATTCCTAATCTAACCTCAATCTCTCATCTTTATAAATCATCATCTCCCTCACAGAACTTGGATTCACGCTCATCCTTTACA